TTCTCATAATAAATGGCCATGATAAAATACCGACAGTACTGTTTTAATTACGTAAACAACTCAGCAAATATACGTTGTTCCCCGTATCTTTACAGCAAATGATGGACCTAGAACCGTTTTGGTGTGGAACATCGCTGAGGACGACGCTTCAAAACATTCAGTAAAAATATCGCATCTGATTGCTCCACGTTTGGCTTAAGAATGACAAAACGTGACCGAAAACAGCATCGTTGGGAACATTGTAACTTCAGCGGGACGCACCGCCTCAGTTAAACCGCTCAGAAAAACGCTGACTGACCCCCCCCCCCCCCCAGCAACAAACCGCAGCCGTTTATTGTACGTGCGAAGGGGTCAATATTCTATTTTCCGTTGCTATGTTAAAATATGCTGTTAGGTATGGAAAGGAAAGTAGATGTTTACTTGCTGCTAGTCCTTACTTTATAAGAAGAGAAAGTATTGTAATCGTGCGTCGAATGAGGGCGGATTTTTGACAGAAAAACATTTTGATCTTCCCGCAACTACAATATTAAAGATAGATAATTTTACTAAATGAAATCTATTCTTTAAAGACGGAGTTTTCCCATTTTTGTATTTTTTGTAAAATTGTAAATTGAAATATTATGCAAAAAATGTGTTTACTGTAGTACTCTAGTCTCCATAACTGAATCCTATAAATAAAAATCTAGGTGTCACTTTTTGATGTTTGGGCATGAGGTTACCGCGGGTACTCTCTTGTATATCTGAAAGTCTTCTACACCGTTGTAAACGCCTCAGTAAGTCAACTACCATTTTCTACCAATAAAAATAATGGTTTCGCTGCGTCGAGTAAAAGTAATGTGCATGTCTACTTTTCTTCTAAAAGACGTTAAATAGACTATCGTGTACATTCTGGCTGGTGTACAGTCTGGTATGGTAATGGTTCAACTATACTCAGTCTTTTGGGAAATTATTACATAAATTAAATAATTTTTTTTCAAATAAATGATTTACTGATAATCCCAAGTAGTGACGTACCTGGGAAGCGGTACTTTCACGACAATAAAATTATGCAAGGGACAGGTGCCTTTTCGTGAATGGGTCTCTAGGAATTTGGCGCAACATGGGAAGAGAACTGTTATAAACTCTTATGCATCTAAACGTTTTAACAACCAAAGAATACACCTTACAAATAATATTTACAAACAGTAGTGCTGAGGTCTTGAAAACAAGCGCGCCGATCAACTCCAATGTACATACTACCTCGACCTTTAAAACGCCATCTGCTCCCTCTGGATGCGTCCGGGGCTGTCGTTGCAACGGCGGCGGTGGATTCGGCAAGCTTCGGTTCGCCCCTAAGCCCGTCGGGGATTCGCCCTCCCTCGGCGACCAGCTCCTCCGGCCCAACGTACCGGCTGATGATTTCGCCGGGGTCCGCCCCAGCCGGTGTGAACAATGTCTCGCAAATACGGGAACGAACGACGCGAGATTAACGTTCGTCGGCTATTCTAATCTTTCAGTGACCTTTCTCGGCTTCGCACAAATGTCTGTTCGGCACTGTCCACTATTATGTTGTTCCAG